TTCCTTTGTCCTATGCCCGAGACCATTAGGCATGCTTCCATCGCTCCGAAACTGAAAAAAGTGCAAGCCAAGGTTTAGTGCCCACTAAGTCTCCTACACAAGCACCTCTCCCGCAAATAAGCGGCATGACAACCGGACCCTGGCACTGGATCACTCTCACCACCTCCCAATTAGGCATCCTAGCCGAATAAGATACCACATCTTTGACTCTTTAAGCCATAGATAAAACAAAATTTATTTATGGGTCTAAATTACAAACGTCAATATTTTTCAGAAAAGAATAGGTCAAGAATACCAACATTTTCTTAAAACTAAAGAATTTATATTAAGCTGGTGTAGATAAGCGAATCAAATGAAAGAAAGTCACATCTGGCAGTTGCACTGGGGCATATAACATATAACCGATTTAGAAGCAGAACATTGATCATTGGAAGAACTGTTGATTTCGCATGAAACTGCGGATGGGGGCTCTGGCCATTTGAGCCTCAAGGCCAGACGCCTGAATTGAATTCTGGGATTTTGGAACAGAATTAGCCTCAGCAGACACTTGACCTGGCCAGGCAGAATGGAAGTGGAACGGGGAAGTAGCAACGTGTTGCATTATCATATTCTGCAAATTTTGGTCATGTTGTCTATGTCGCAACGCTGCCAAATCAGAGCCAGAATTAGAATCATCAGACAAACCCATATCTTCAAGACTAGCCGAGACGGGGCGTAAGAGGCTTTTGCTGAGGAACGACTGTCGCCCATTCTGCGAGCCAGTCAGATCCATCTGCCCAGCCGTCTCGATTGCAGCCGTGTCTTCCGAGCTTCCAAGAATCTCACCGGCAGCTCCGATAATGCCATCCCCTGGAGCGCCAAACAGTACAGCCTGATTATGCTGGTCTAATGCTGACAAACCGGCGATGTCCATAGTTGGATTCATACTAAAGGAGGAACTGGCTCCAAAGGAAAGGGGACTGGGGGATCCGGGAAAAAGCATATTCGAACTATCCGGGCTTGCTCGGCCAAAAGTAGATTGTGCAGCGGCTAGAGGCATCATTTGACCTAGATTTGCAGAGGCAGTTCTGGCTGCTGGGTTCATAGCAAAACCGTTCATCTGAAGCGTCGGATCACCCAGGCTCCGGCCGATTTTTGGCAAGAACATGGTGCCATCATAGAGCATTGAATTGGCCGGAAAACCGAGAGAAGAGCCTGAAGCCGAATTATACGAAGGCTGTGGACTCCAAAACAGGTTGTTTAGGTCGTATTGAGCAGGAAAACCAGAAACCGCCTCAAGGCCGCTGGAGACAGGCGAAAATATTGAAGCAGATTCGCATTTCGTAAAGAACAGGACGAGCAAGATTAGGAGAGACATGACAAAAAATCTAGGTACAGGAACACAGAGAAGCAAGTCAAAAGTGAAGCGAGCTTGACGAAATATAAGTCTAAAAGGTGTTGAGAGGAACTCATCACAAAAATATCTCGGACTGGGACATCCGAATGTGAGTAGAACTCAGCTGGCTGGCTGGCAGGCAAACAGGATAACAACTCATCAAGCCACATCGATCAGCCGAAGGGAAGCCAATAAAATTTAATGGATCAAAAGACAAAGCTACTCTCATATCGGGTATGAGCGAAAGTGATTTAAGTTGAATTGTTAAGTGAAAATGGTTACACAATTAAATAGATTTTAACATAGCAAA